TTAGAAAGAGGTGACGGCAAAGCAGGAATAGGGTCATCGTGATATCTAGCTACTTCCTGCTGGCATTGGGGGCAACGTGTCTCTAGGGGGAACCTAGAAGAATGGGTATGGGGGATGTTTGTCCGGTCTTAGGAGAGTTGGCTGTTTCCTGCTGTCCAGGGTCTATGGAGCCATCTGAGGATAGGCCAGATGGAACAGGTCCAGTAGAAGCAGCTGTGTGTGTGACAGGAGATGGAGCATCTGGAGGTTGCTTCTCTGGACCTGTTCTGGATGCGCCTGGACTTGACAAGATGTAGGGAATAAGATTAAATACATTTGGGAGAAAGAAAATTTTTTTTTTAAGATGTACATTTGAAACCCAGAGGAACCTCACCCTTTGCAATAGGTAATAAGAACTTTAGGCACATGTATTTATCTGGATGGAGCCTATTTGGTCCACGAGAGGTAGATCTGAGTGGGTTTCCTGTAGCTTGATAACACCCATAGCATATTTCCTTCACTATCAAGACTTCTTCATGCTAGTGTTTCAGCTTTTTGAAGAAGCTCATTTGTCATCACCCTTCGTGATCTTCTTCCCTCAGCCCTTGTATCCCACATCTGCTACATCTTTCTACCACGTGGGCAACTTGCCCACTTCCAATAGAAAAAGTATTTATTGCGTAAAAAATGTTCAAGCTGAGAGTTAAAGGCATATATAATTTTTTTTTTTGAGACAGGGTTTCTCTGTGTAGCCCTGGCTGTCCTGGAACTCACTTTGTAGACCAGGCTAGCCTCAAACTCAGAAATCCACCTGCCTCTGTCTCCCAAGTGCTGGGAGCATGCGCAACCACTGCCCAGCCCCTTATATTTTTAATTCTAATGTTGGTTTGCACTTAACAGTGAAGGAGATCTGATACATGTTACCAGGATGTATGCTGTGAGGTAAAGATCAAGGTTCATCCTTCTATGAGTGGCTATTCAATTTGGACATCGTGTGTTGAAGATGCTGTCTTTTCAATATGCATTGTTGGCATTGTTGTGAAAAATCTGGTGGCTATAGGAGTGTGGGCCTCTTTTTATTTTTACAATATGACTTTAGTTTCATAAGTTTATATCTGAATATTCTATTCTATTCTATTCTATTCTATTCTATTCTATTCTATTCTATTCTATTCTATTCTACTCAGCTGCTGCCTGTTTCTGTTTTGATCACTATGGCTCTATAGTATGCTACAGGTATGATAATGACTTCAGCACTGTTCTTTCTGCTCAGGATTTATTTGGTATGTGGGATATTTTGTGTCTACACATGAATTTTCAGATTTTTATGCTTCTGTGAAGAATAGCATTGGAGTTTTAAGATTACATTGAATCTGTGTATTTTATTTGGTAAGACGGTCATTATTTACGGTATTTTGTCCATCCATGAACATGGGAGGACTTTCTATGTTCTATTATTTTTCTCTATTTCCTTCTTCAGTGTTTTAAAGTTTTCATTGTACAGATCTTTTATTACCTTTGTTGGGTTTATTCCATGTTATGTTTTTTAAGCGACTGTAAATAGAATTGTTCCTGTCATTTCATTTGCAGTATGCTTACCCTTGGTCTATAGGAAGGCTACTGATCGTTCTGTTAATAATGTGTCTTTTTGCCATGTTGAAAATATTTTTCAACTGGATGAATTCTCTAGTGGAGTCAAGGTCTTTAATGTATAGAATCATATCATTTGCAAATAAGAATACTTGAATTTATATTTCTATGTGTGGCTTTTTAATTTTTTTCTCTTGTATTATTTATGTAAGACTTTAAGCAAAACCTTGAAAAGGAGTAGAGAGAGGTGGATATTTTTATTTTGCACCTGATTTTAGTGGAACTGCATCATAGTTTTGTTTTTTTCCCAATTTGGCACAATGTTAGCTATAGGCTTGGTGTACATCCCTTTAGTATGCTAATACATGTTCACTATATCCTTAGACTTTCTTAGGCTTTTATCATGAGGAGGAAAGGTTGGACTTTGAAAAAAGTGGTTTTGCAACTATTTAAATCAATATGTTTTCTGTCTTTAAGTACATGTATAATTACTGATTTGTATATGTCCAACAACCCTTGCATCTCCGTCATGGAACTGACTTGATTTTAGACTATAGTCAAATGGTCTTTTTGGTGTGTTCCTGAATTCAGTTTACAAGTGCTTTGTTGAATTTTTGTATCTATATTCACCAGGGAGATTTATTTACTTTGTGTTTGTGTGTGTGATGCTGGTTTTACAAATACTTTATAGATTAGTCTGAAAAACATTGGTTGTAGTTCTTTTACTAAAATCTGGTAAAATTTGATGAGTCCATTGGGACCTGGACCCTTTTGGTTAGGAAGTTTTAAGATTGCTGCTTCAATCTCATTGCTTATCTGTTTAGACATTTTAAAATGTCTTCTTAGTTTAATCTTAGGAGGTTATGTGTATTTAGGAATTGGCGCAGTTCTTTTAGGTTTTCCACTTTGGTGGAGTAGAGGCTGTTGAAGTGTGAGCTTGTGGCCCTCTGGGTTTCCTTGCTATCTCCCTTTGTACTCTAGTCTGACTGATGCTTTGTTTCTTTTTTGTTGCTTCAGACAAGCCAGAAAATGTTGAATGTTTCTTGGTCTCGGAAGCCACCACTCTTTCATTTGATATTGAACCTTCCAGTGGAGTCAGGACTGTCTTCATGAAGCGTATTTCTGCCATTTACAGCAGACACAGACCTCCATCACCGTCTCTGACAACCAGCTGCATGTGCACATTCAGGTATACGAAGGGGGAAAGAGGCATGGCCAAGGGTAGGAACCTGTTGGGGAAGATGGAGATGTACCTCCTGCACCCTGTGGCGTGCCTCAGATTCAAGTTCCTCTTGACATTGATGTTAATGCTACCCTTGATGCTTCTGTTGCAGAGCACAGTACAGGAACGAGGACCAGATTACCTTCACCAACGACAGAGCTCTCTTGCTCATGGATGACAGTGAGTCCAGTGGGCCAGGTGACTGAGGCATACACGGGTCCAGATGAGAATCAGACAGTTCCAAGAGTTCTCTGGAATCGTGTATGTTCCGTGTGATAGCAAGAGTTGATAAGACTGCTTCAGGACAACATCACTGAGGAGGACAAGAGAAGACTCTTGCCAAGTGTGATGGGATTATCAGTTGATTGTATGGAAATCTGATTGCAGTGAAGAAGGAATGTAATTAGTAGCAGCGGCAGCAGCAACTGAGGGGAACAGGCTATCCTTGGGTGTTGGTGATATACCAGGCAGAATGCCTGGGGCCCTGAGCTTCCCTCTTGGGGGAGCTCCCCTATGGTGGTGCTTTAGGGCCCGCTATGGTACAGGATATTTAAGTTAATCTAATTAGAGATATAGTATTCTTCTGGAGGAAGACATTTGGTGGACTTCAGTCCACCAAGTTTTGGGCAGTTGAGCTCTTAAAATAATTTCCAGGGCACTCTCGGTCTTTGAATACTGACCATGTGTACAGGGAAAAGAATGCTGCATTCTGTAAGCTTTGAATCATATATAGAAAATGTAATATCTTAAATAAAATTGTTTAAAGTCTGCACCCAAATGTGGACATTTAAAGTGTATACCTCTGCTGATTCAATATTATGAAAATATCTTTTATGTTCTAAGAGACTGGGACTTTTGCTGGATCTTACAGAGTTAATGATACACTTTGAGATCCCGATATACTTAAACCTCTATCTTGCTGTGTACTCAGGCTTTGTTTAATTTGCCTTTAACAGTTGGGTGGCATGGTACATGGCTTTAATCCCAGAACTCTAGAGGCAGAGGCAGGCAGATTTCTGAGAGTTTGAGTTTGAGGCCAACCTGGTCTACAACTTTGCTTGGCTCAGGTTTCCCATGTGCTCAGCTTTTACGACCCAAGGTAATGCATAGCTGTAATTTTAAGTCACATACTCAGCTATGCCCTTGATCTGGAGTAATGCATGCATGTGCGTGTGCTATGCCAGCAAATATAAGTTGAAAGCAGTCTTATCAAATGAATACCCATCATAAGTGTTGAAGACAACTTATGGATATTGCTTGATCAATAATGGTGCTTGCAGTACTGTTATCTGGGTTAGTGGAGTCACTTGGAGTCAGTGGCTTAATCTTTTGTAAAACTGTTGATTTCAGTACAGTATCTCTCATTCCTTCCCCTATATGCTTTCTGTGCTGTTTAATAAAAGAGAGAGCAAAGCCCTTAGTTAGGGACACACACACACACACACACACACACACACACACACACACACACACACCCCGGGAGCCGCTTCTCTGAAGCAGAGTAAAAAAGAGAGAGAGAGAGAAAAAAAAAAAGTCTGCCTGTCAGAGTCAAGGCAGGTCAGGGTCTGCTGGCGGACTTCCTGGCCTTCTGAAGCACAGAGCAACAAGAGGAAATGCACTCGAGGCTCAAGACGTAGGGCTGAAGATTCTATTGATCCTGGTGGAAGGAATAGAGAGGCTTTTTTTTGGTGAGAACAAATGTCTTATATGAATATTTCATCAAATTGTTTCTGTTAGCTTGTGGCTTTGTTTCCCACGGTACTGTAGTATAAAAAGGCTATGAGAAATAACACTAGCGGCTGATGTGCAGCCCCCCCCCTTATCTTTCTCTTGTATCCTTTTTCTATCCTTCCTATAATCAACCTTACTCCCCCTCAGAGGACTCTTCAACTTTGTACTGGCCAGTCCAGTGCACATACACTCACATGGGATGAAGAGAGAGAGAGAGAGAGAGAGAGAGAGAGAGAGAGAGAGAGAGAGAGAGAGAGAGAAAGACACAGGGACAAACAGGTTCATAAGAGACCAGGCAGGCATAGATTCAAACTCATATGACAGACAGACAAAACGAGACAGGAGACACAGCGGGAGAGAATTATTCAAGTCTGGGCTCACTCATGGTTAGAGTATATGAAGGGGTAGAATATTTAGTTTTTTCCCCTAAATGCGGCACAGACACATTATTGGTGACTGAGTTTATCATCCAATGCACTCAAACCTGTATATCTCATGTGTTAAGTCTATTATCTACCCCCATTTGATTATCTTTTAATTTCCTGTCTTATAGACACCGTGCTAGGCTTTTTCAGGGCTTTGACACTATTCCCATAAGTTAATGGAAATGCCTTTTCAGTACACAGAAAAATGGATCTCAAATGAGTACCAAAATAGCCCATAAAGTAGCTATCTAGCAAACCAAATGACCTGTCAGCCTAACAGGTCACTGTAAACACAGACATGAGTAGATGGGCAGAGAAAGTGCACAGGGAACAGCTGTCTCCAGGCTTGTTTTTCATTGGATCCAGGAACATTGACCATCTTAGACCCACGTCAGTCACTGTCAGTCTGAATGACCGAAAATGTAATAACCTGTCAATGAATAAAAGACCCTCCATTTAGAGATAGGCTCGGGTTTCAGGGTGTGTCTATCTTAACAAGAAAACTGCAACAAGGCTCCCGTGAAAAGAAACCAGGATCTTTTTTTTTTTTTCACATTTTCCAAGTTGCAAGAGAAACATTCTTTCATCTGCGATCCAGGGATCCATTGGAATTTGTGGGTGAGGCTGGGCTACAAGATGCCACGTTGTCTGTGGGAAAACTATGGCAACATCTGGGTAGAAGAAGTGCTAGTGGGCTGGAGAGATGGCTCAGTGGTTAAGAGCACTAACTGCTCTTCCAGAGGTCCTGAGTTCAATTCCCAGCAACCACATGGTGGCTCACAACCATCTGTCATGGGATCGATGCCCTCTTCTAGTGTGTCTGAAGATAGTTACAATGTACTCATATAAATAAAATAAATAAATCTTGAAAAAAAAAAAAAGAAGTGCTAGTGGCTTGAGTGTTTAGTGATGGTCTTCTAGCCTCCCTGAGTACTTAGCTCTTCACTGGACTCCCAAGACCACTCTTCCTCCCCTCACCCCACTCCCAATTAAGTGCTTCCCCCAGATTCTTATTCTCAGTAAGGTTTTTTATTTATTTATTTATTTTTTTATTGTAGCCAAGAAAGTGCTGGCTATGGTGGCCTGTGAATGTCATCAGGGCCACACACCCATCTTTGCTTTTGTGTATCCTTCCATTTTGTCATAGGTAACCTCAAAGCTACTCTTGGATTCGTGTTAACTGATTCTTAGTGGTGAACTCTAAATACCAGCCATTTGTAAACCGCTTTCTTCACATTGTTAAATGCCGCGCCAACCTCAGTAGAATCTGTGTGACAAGTTCCACAGACTGAGGCAAAAACTTCAAAAGAAGGAGACCTCCTGGAACTGGTTGTGGAACTCTTGCCCAGAAAAAAAAACACTGAACCATCTTTCTCATGGAAATTTATCTGCTTTATTTTTTTTTTTTATTCCTTTTCTTATTTATGACATGTTTCTGATAGCTTAGGCCAAGATCTTGCCCCTCTTTTTTTCTAGGTTTTTTTTTTATTGTATATTTTATTTACATTTCCCCCCACCCAGGAACCCCCTATCCCATCCCCCCTCTTCCTGCTTCTATGAGGATGTACCCTCACCCACCCACCCACTCCCACCTTCCCACCCACGAATTCCCCCACACTGGGGCATCCAACCTTTACTGGACCAAGGATCTCCTCTCCCACCTATGTAGGCCAAGATCTTAAGAAGAGAAAAATGGGTAAGAAACCATCCCTTGAGATGGGGGTTACTAACATGACCTTGCCTCCGGGGAAACCAACGCTTTACTTTATAAATCATTTACAAAATTACATAATAGTATTATGATAGATAAAAGCTTTCCCAACAATAAAATTTCATATGAGTACATGTGTGTCATCAGAGGTGGGCTTTGGTATATGGTAAAGAAAGCCTTAAATAAAAAGAATTAAAATAGTTTAAATTTATGCATGAAAGATTTATAAAAAATTAGGCATTAGATGTTAAATAATAGCTGATTATAAAGATTAATTAACCTGCTCTTGGAGATCTGCCACCAGCCTTGGATGACCGCCCACTGAATACGTCCTTTCAGAGCTGTAACACTTGAATGATTTCTATTGTGCCAAATAATAATGATGTTACCTGTTCTGTTTGTGATTTACTGAATACATCTTCTAAGAGTTGTAGTATTTGTTTTATTTTTTTTAATGTATAAAAACCCTTGCTTGAGAGCTGCAAAATACACTCAGATTCAAACTGCCTCTGTGTTTGTTTCTGTTTGCTATCGCTGAATCCTTTCCCACCTATCCTTCGAAGACCCTCATTCCAGGGACTCCATACCCGACTGGGGCGGTCTGTGGCAGTTAAAGAGTCTAGAATTTTACTTTATGATCCCCCTGAATTACACGCCTCCGTTTTCCCCACAAGGATCTTTGTTGACACAGACAAGCACCACACTGAAGGGTGACCGATTTGTATGTGTGCATCTCAATGGCAGCCTCGCTGATTGCCTTGAGACATGGTGACTTTCCTTTCATCTTGTTGGTTATGGCTGAGGCTGACCTTGAACAATGGAAGGTCTGTTCTATCCTACATTTGTCTGGAGTAACTTGATAACGGATGAATTAGATGATGTCTTACTTAGGGTTTCTATTCCTGCACAAACATCCATGACCAAGAAGCAAGTTGGGGAGGAAAGGGTTTATTTAGCTTATACTTCCACATTGCTGTTCATCACCAAAGGAAGGCAGGACTGGAACTCAAGCAGGTCAGGAAGCAGGAGCTGATGCAGAGGCCATGGAGGGATGTTACTTACTAGCTTGCTTCCCCTGGCTTGTTCAGCTTGTTTTCTTATAGAACCCAGGACTACCAGCCCAGGGATGGCACCACCCACAATGGACCCTCCCCCCTTGATCACTAATTGAGAAAATGCCTTACAGCTGGATCTCATGGAGGCATTTCCTCAAGGGGGGCTCCTTTCTCTGTGATAACTCCAGCTTGTGTCAAGTTGACACATAAAACCAGCCAGCACAGATGGACAGTGAGACTCAACTTTTATACTAGTGTTTAACGAAGAGTTAAGATACACATGGCTTCAGTAGAAAGCACGTGCTAACAGACTAATCACATATCAGTTATTTGGAAGCTCACTGTATCTCCATGGGGGCAGAAAGGTATGTGTTGGGCATCAGAGTCTCTATGGAGTTTCCCCATCAGTGGAAAGCCTGCTCGGTAGTGCTCCAAGCCAATTCTGTTCTCCCATGATTCATTAGTGACAGGTTATTACCAGTTTTATCCTCAGTGGTCATTAGAGAGACATGTCTTCAGCAATCCTCTAGGGCTTTCTCTCAGTCTCCTGGGTGAAATCCAACAACACCTTAGACAGGGTAGTGCCCAGTGGCTGTGGTATACAATGTAAAGTGACCTAAGGGTATTGGGAATGTGAGGGAGAAGGGACAGCAACAGTGACTCCTGGCTCCAACTTTCTTCTGCTCCCGTGTTTCTCAGGGCAGGAATGGCAAAGTTACACTGGGAAAATTTTGAAAGTTTACTGCCACTAAAAGGCTAAATGTCAGACAAAGCCCACTATTGCCCTGTTTCAAACTATCTGACCGTGAAGTTTGGTATAAGGCACTTAAACCTTGGAATGGACTTAGGACCATGTAATGTTCTAACAGCAGCTA